TTAAGAGGCCAGCTGTGGATATTACCGTGGCCTGGGAGCCATCGAGATGTGCACCACGATCCCAGACTCACTAAAAGAGATATTGCAAATGGAAGCACTCAGAAAATGTTGATTGCAAAGGAAGTGTTAGACATGGAGAATGTTATCACATAAACCAAAGGAAAACAGAAAACTCAAAGATGTGCAGGCAATTGTTTGAAAAGAAAGTCAGTCATAGATGCCTTACAGAAACAGGAATTATGAACATAATCGTGACTATGTAATTAAATAGCCTGTTAAAATTATTTTTTCCTCTTGCCTTAATTTTCCATCTGATTAAAATTTCCCACCAAATGTCCTCAGACTTATAGGGCTTTGATTCTGGCAATGCATTGCAATTCTGGCAGGTAGCAGTACTGCAGAATTCTTTTCTTTTTATCCCCCAGCCCTTTGGTCTCTTCTTTATACATTTATGATCTTACAGTATTTTTTCTCCTCTAGTCACAGGTCATATGTAAACAACTAGAATTATTTTTGGAGTACAGCAGCATAACACACTCTATTTCTGTTTCTATCAAGAGATAACATTCTTGCAGATTCTTACTTTTTTCAGTTATTAGGTTTGGGCAAAAATTTGTCTATCAAAAAGATACATTTATTAGGTATTTTATTTTATGCTTCTGATAAAGTGTCAAGATCCCTAAACATGGCCAAATAAAACTAATAAAATATTAAAATGTTTTTTTTTTTAAATTAGATTACATTCCTACGGTTGACACACTTTGCTGACTTTTCAAAAATATTTACCCAGTGATAATATACTCAGTACTATGTATATTGCAAACCCATCTCCAAAACCTCAAAGACAAGTTTACCAAAGCACTTACAAACATAGAAGACATGCTAAATTGCTTTTCTGACTCTTAAAAGGCTGAAGTACACCCTTAATGATTTGTCAACTCCAAGCCTACCTCAATGAAAGAGTATCACATCTGCAGCATTTACATCTTCTTTTTTTTCCTGTGAAACTTAGTAGAACTGATTCTCGATCAAAGCTTTGAAACACTTATTCACTGATATTTTTAATTGCACCTAGTAACTCATAACATGCTTGTTTTCTCTGAATGCTCATTTTTAATGTTACTGTTACCATTTTTAATGCCCAGTTCACATACATCCTGTGTTAGACTTACTAGAACCAAATCTAAAAATGCCTTTATGCATGTGTCCATGCTTGATTGATTTCAACTTTCACCCATATATTCTCTGCTATATATGTCTTTTAAACATGGTTTTATTACTGAATCAGCAAATGCACATTTTAAAACCAAAAAAATCTGCAGTAGATCTGAGTTAAATGAAATTTCTGAATGTGTTTGCCCCCCCCAAATAGCCCTCCTGTAAAATTTTGTAACTTAGAGACATCATTCCTTTTTGAGTGACTTTTATAAAGAAAACATTCTAAAATAATAATAATAATAAAAAAAACACCAAAACATCCTGGCAAATATCTGTGCATTTTGCTACTTACCACTCAGTTGGTAAGTCTGATTGTTCTGACAGCTTTTTAACCTGAGCTGCTGATTCCAAGACTCCTCTGTCCTTCCTGTCCCAAATTCTGCCACAGAGCCTAACATTACTGAATGTCAAAACCTTACTCAAAGCCCATCTACTTAGTCACAGTTTTTGCCTTAAAGAATATAATAACTGTAAGAAATTCTACATCATTAACACACTAATGGTTATACACATTAACTGTGTTTTTCATACACTGGAAAAGCATGAAAAAAGATATGCTAGAAATACTCTGAATTAATTCTATCAATATTTGCCTCCTTATTTGTTACAGATATATAATGTGCAAATATTTTATGGAATCTCTAAACTGTCCTTTGTATTTTTCCATTTTGCATTCCCTCTTTTTCAGTCAAATCTGTTCATTCCAGTTGGCAACCTACTTTATTTCTTTGGACCAATTTGCCACCAAAGTCATGTAGTCAAAAGGGTAAGAAAAAGGCCTACCATTGTTCCTTCAGACTCCCATGTTGCTTGTGGTGCTCCCTCTAAACTTATCAGTAAAAATTATTGAGGGACGTGTATGATGAGAAAGAGAGTACAGAGTTGCAGATAAACTCTGATCTTTTGGAGGTACTTCTCCTCACAGCATCTACAGAAGCATCTTCGTGCTTAGCATCCATTTGTGACTGGCTTTAACATCCTCACATTATGGTGCTCTCAATTTTTATAACTTTATTTTTTAGCCATATGATTAATTTCCTTAAAAGCTACAGTTTTGAAAGCTTTCACTCTTTCTGTGAACATTCCTCATTAGAGAGAAGTGTAGATTTTGAAACATCTTTTACTGTGTCCTATGCAAGCTAATGAAGACACTGTTAATAATAGCAAGTGATGCCTAGCATAAACTACAAAAATAGCATATTTTAAACTGCTGCAGACTGTCTACAACCACGTTAACAGTCCTCAGCAATCTATCCCTCTTTATCACAGTACCTGCACAACATGCTGAAATGTAAGGTATGCACTGCAGCCCCAGCAATACACAGGGTCAGGAAAGAGCCAAGCGCTTTCTTGAATGGGAAAAGACTGAAGCATAGGAATGTTTTACTGCAGTACGGCCTGTTATCTCATTCTTTTGATCTAGATCACCCCAATCTACAATTAAATTCATGTACTTCTCTGAACTAGCCTCTCATCATGGACCAGCAAATGTAAAGCAGTTCAGAGGAAGTCCTAGCATCAACAGGGTGACACTGGAAGTCCACTAGAAAGTCCTGAGCACTTCAGACAGCACACCAGTTACAGGACGTTAGCTGCTGCCTAAAAGAGCTTCTGCCCAGTTTATATCTGTGCTGAACAACAGAAACGTGCCTGGTTTTAAAAGAGCCAGTTGGCAGCTGGCTACTCATCCTTTCTAGCCTGGGAATGTAAAGCAGGTCCTAATTCTTGCTCATTTGTGTGCACAGGGGGAAAGTTATTGAAGGGTTCGGTTCTGCATGCTGCAGAAAATCTAGCAGAGACACTTGGGATCTCTTTAAAGATCCAAGATATTTGGCTACTTTTGAATGAGCATCTGAATTCATACATTCTGATTTGCTCCTTCATCTTTTACCATCCTGTCACCTGTGCACATAACGAGCTATAAAAGGCTCATATGACATACGTTGCCCTTTTTATCCTGCTTATGGTACCTTTGGTTAGAATTATATGTCTTGAGCACACCTAGCAGGAAATGTTTCCCAGCAGTCCAACCAAACAGAACAACCCAAAGAACATCTTGCACCCAGCCAGAAGCCCACATTAACTTTTGTGACAAAATGACTTTTTTTTCCTGGAAACCTAAAGAAAGTTCCTGATTTGCTGCTTACATATACGATTTGTCAGGAAGAACTTCCCACTAAGAATTTCAGTTCATGTTCTATATATTATAGATTGGTCAAGTGTGATTAAAAGCTTTCAGCTGCAGTTTCCATGTACAAAAGATGTTCCATTTACTGAAGTACTGAGATTCTACTTTTTTCATAAAGCAAAAGTTCTGAACATTTCCAGTGGGCCAAATATAAATAAGATACTCCCTTGAAGGAGCACTGGTAACCACAAAAGTCATAAAAAGCAATTTGCCTTATCATTTGCTTGCTGCAGCCATTTACTGGTGCATTCCATTACTTGTTCATACCTATTCAAAGGCCAGGACCAGATCTATGTATCTCAATGAGTTCTTACAGAAATTATCAGTATTCTTGATTTTAATAATTTTATCTCTCATTTTTACCATAAAAAAATTCAGTCAAGAGTCTGCTCGCTTGTCACCATGCTACAAGCTTCTGGCAGCACGTACTCAGTTTAATGACAGTCTTGGTTCTATTCCAGCAGATTATTTAAAAGAAAAATGTCCTGATGAAAAAATCAGCTGTGTTTAAATAGTTACGCAGTTCGACCAGACAATTTGAGGGCTTTGGCTGTTTTTTCCTCTTACAGACCCTTATCAGGCCAATATACACATACACACGGACAGTATTCAATGGAGGGCTTAGAAATGTGTTTGTGCTTAAGTTTCATGATCTGCTGAACACATTACAGCAGGTGCATTACAGAGGATGCATTATTTTGTTGCTCTATGCTTCCATAGCCAGGCTTATTCAAGAGACTACGGAGCTTAGCTTAACACTAGTCACCTGAGGTATGTCTTGATTATGTATTTTAAATACGAGTACTTAGAACTTAAACAAGGATATGTATATACTTTAATACTTGTCAGCAACTTACTGTAAAAGCAGTAAGGTGGCTGATAAACTGCCAATTATCCTTCTTCCATGTGCTACATATTTTTGGAGATCCTAATAGCAGTGCTGGAGAAAGGACATCAAATGATGCTTAGAAATGTGATACACATTTTCATTTCACACTCCATCAGTTTTTACAACTAGAGCTCCATGAAATGTATGAGAATACTTGGCTAACAGCCATATCTACTGAGGTGCAAAATAAGGATCAGATCTCTTTTTAAAAGAGTTTCATTTTCTTTACATGACTAAATCAGATGTTGACCTTTTTCCAAAATATATTGTAAATATTCCATACCTCTACCCATCAATTAATTTTGAATCTCTGAATTGTGTTTTGACCTGTTTTAATAGACATGTAATCAATACACATTTTTTAAAAAACAGTTAGGTAAAGAAAAGAAAACTGATTCATCCTTCCTCTAAATTGAAATACATTGAGTTACTGATGTTAAATCTTTTCAATTCTAGTAAGTTCTTTCCCCATCTTGCACCTTGAAAGAAAAAACAAGTGTATTATCACCCTTATAGTCAGCAAAGCTACGGACATCAGCAAAAACATATTTTGAATTCAAATTTCAATCTGCCATAAAAGATTAAAGCTTCATGCATATATAAATGGGAACTATAAAATGATAACAGATACATAGCATGGAATCATTTTGCTTGAACAGCTGTTGATTTACCAGTGTAGCAAAGCAGAAAATGTCTTTTTCTCACCTCTGTTAAACCAGAAACTTCTCCTTTTGCTAATGGTCTGGTGATGGATGCAGTGTGAACTCTGGCGTCTGACACTGGTTGCCCCTTCATAAAATGTTTTCCAGCTTCATAAATATTCACTTCTACCATCTTACCCATCAACAGAGGATCCTTTGGCACAAGGACCTTTCAAATAAAGATAAAGACATAATTACTAAATACCACAAGGAACATCAGAGTCTCCAGTTTCCACTCAGAAAACAGATGATAAACATCAGAGAAAATCCTAAAACTTTAAAATATTAGTCATCAGCATACACTATAGATCCTGCCACATTTGACCAATAAGTTCTCCAGCTTGCATTCTTCAAGAGCTTTGCAGTGTTAGCTCAGCATTTTTCAACTCCAACTGTGAGTCTTGTTTTTTGATTGATGAGGAAGTTGGGCCTCAATTGCAGCTTTTGAATCCAGACCCAAACAGTTCCCAAGGGTACTCATAGTACACAGTTCTAATAGCCTGCCATAAAGCTTCCTGTTTTCATGTCCATGCCATAACACTTCTTTAAAAAATGTTTTTGAGTCTGTAAATGCTTCTGGACAAAAATTATGCCCTTGTTTCTCTTTGCACAAGCCTTTATTTTGACTGTGCAGATCCTTTGCAGCTGAGATGCATGACTGACAATGAATGCCTGTAAAAATGGATGAGTGCATTTCTTGGGTCAGCAACTAATGCCATCCTTTTCCGAATTTGCACAATCATGATATCAGAAAGTCCCATTTCATAAAAAACCCAGCACATAACAAGGTATTCCTAGCTTATGCATCTTACAAAAGAAAGAGCCCAACATACTTGAGCGATATTTTTTGCTGGAAGAATAAATGGAGTAAAAAAGGCTTTAAAAAGGCTCTAAAATAGACAAGCAGTTAAAAAAGAAAAGTGGAGTCATTTCTTGGTGAAATTACATATTTTACAGTGTTTACAGTGAAAAATTGAATCATGGGAACTTATTTAATCACATATACTTGAAGCTCATCCACACACAGAATCTCAGAGTGGGTCAGGTTGGAAGGGACCACAGTGGGTCATCTGATCCAACTTCCCTGCTCAAGCAGGGTCATCCTAGAGCACACTGCACAGGACATTTCTGGAATATCTCCAGTGAGGGAGTCTCCACAACCTCTCTGGGCAATCTGTTCCAGTGTACAGCCACCCACACAGTAAAAAAGTTCTTCCTCGTGTTTAGGTAGAACTTCCTGTGCATCAGTTTCTACCCGTTGCCTCTTGCCCTATTGCTTGGCACCACTGAGAAGAGCCTGGTTCTGCCTTCTTGGCACCCTCCCTTCAGATACTTATATACATTGATGAGGTGTCCTCTCAGTTGTCTCTTCTTGAGGCTGAACAGGTCCAACTCCCTCAGCCTTTCCTCATAAGAGAGATGCTCCAGTCCCTTAATCATCTTTGTCATTGTCCACTGTACCCGGTCCAGGAGCTCCCTTTCTCACTTGTACTGTGGAGCCCAGAACTGGACACAGCACTCCAGATGTGGTCTCTCTAGCACTGAGGAGAGCTTTTCAAAGATCATATTAATATATCTTGATTCTTTGATGCTGAAACTGAAATTCCTTAAAATGACTTGATTTTTAGACTACCTGTGCAGACGATTTTCAGAGAAAAATTCTGTGCCAACCACATCTGGAGAGCATTTTGTTGCCAGACAATGCCTCTCCATTTTCACCTATCACAATTGTTCATTGTTCTACTTGGAGGAAATCACCACCACTAGTTTCCCAAGCATCTTTTTCCCTAAAGGCTCAAGGTGTTCACGACTCTAAGTGTTTCCAGATCCAAGGATTCTGCTGAACTTCCTAAGTATCTTATAAGAAAAGCAGACATCTTTGCCTCTCAGAGACGGGCAAGCTGAGACTAAGCAAACACAGAGTCCTAATGCTGGGACAGTGTTACAATACAACTAGATCAGAGTTCTTCCCATGTAATTCATCATGGGCAAATTTAAATCAAAGGAAAATTAGGCAGCTAAGTATATCACTGGGCTTGTGACCGCTGTAAATCTTGGTGTCTCCATATGCAAAAGGACAGTAACTAAGTTTAAATGTGACTTCAGAAAAAGAAAGAGGTTAAGTGAAAATATCTGGGAGCTTCTGTAAACAACCAAGCAGCCAGGCCTGACATACACTCAGGTATTTTTTTTGATATCACTATTTGTTAGGGGAAAAATCCTCAACCATATTTCTAATAAACAAAGTTACACCAACAGAAACCCTCATCTTGACTGTTGATCTGGCAAAGTACCCTTTAGTCAGTTTAGACTACTCTGTTCAATGGAAACTATATTACCAAAGCCTCCACAAATGGAAGGTGCAGCTCTACCAGGAAGTCTGTCAGTGTAGCTCTATCGATGTGGCTTTAATAGCAAAATCTTTTAATATAGATGAGGTTAGTAAAGAGAGAACAGGTTTGATAACTATTTGAGTTAAAAGAACATTACATCAGGACTCTGAGTTTCACCTTCCAAGAATATATAAAATGATACTTAGTGACACTAGAGTGGTTTTCAATTTACTATCATTCAATTTACTGCTATTAATCCTAGTCACTAGCACCAAGTCTTGTGCTTACCTGGGTGAGCAGTAGGATATTATCCTTGTGAAACACACCCTACATAGGATTTTAGGGAAAAGACTTACATTTTAATAATGAAAAGTATTTCTTGCATAATCGAATTCAAAATTACTCCCTATGTATATTACTATGTGCATTTTGTGTATTCTTTACCAGTCCCAATGAGGAGCTGTATTAGGTGCTGTACAAACACACCATAAAACATCAACACATTTTTTTTCCTGTACATATTGCTTTTCATTTAATTAATTAGGCTTTCATAAAACAAGCATTGAACACTGAAAAGCCCCAAGCAATTTCTTTTTAATCTCTGTATGGAAGACTGTGTTTCTCAAATCTGAGTGATAAGCTACAAAAGCAAGGAACAGTGATACATAAGACTTAGACAAGAAGTTAAATATGTAAAAAACAAAAAGGAAATTTATCAAAAAAAGAGAAAGTGAGGAAAAAATAATTATTGAACCAGATATCTAATAGAAACAGATATTTTATGAATAGTAATGTTCCTTACTACTAAGCAAAAATAAATAAATGCTGTAACACAACCCAAAACCAGAAGAAACCACTATTGGTGACTATGTAAGCACAACCATCATCTATAGCCTCTCCAGGTTCAGACAACTGAACACCTAAAGGTAGTAAAAGCGAACTGTAGATAGCTCAGTGCAAGGAAATGGACAACAACCCAAAGGTAAAATGAGAATAAAATCATAATGATTCAGAAAAGCAAATTTTCTTGGGTCTTAGCAAGTCATCTGCTTCTGAGCAAAAGTAATAATTTTGTGAAATAGATCTACTTTCTTCCTAGTTCAAAGGTAATCTTTTTGTGTGGAAAAAATTTCCTTATAGAAAGTACATAGAAGGAAATGACAAAAAAACAGAAGGAAGGGATGCCATTCAGGAGGGCCTAAACAAGCTTGAGTAGTAGACCCACGAGAACCTAATGAAGTTCAACAAGTTCAAGTGCAAGGTGCACTTGCACCAGGGTTGGCAATCCCAGACAGGAGTACAAACTGGGAGAAGAACTTACTGAGAGTAGCCCTGCCGAGAAGGACTTGGGGTTCTGGTGGATGAGAGGCTGAACATGAGGAATGTGTGCTTGCAGCCCAGAAAGCCAACTGTATCCTGGGCTGCATCAAAAGGAGTGTGATCTCACAAAGTACCATGCTTTGTCAAGGTCAAGGTTCGCAATTCTGCCCTCTACTCTGGTGAGACCCCACTGGAGTCTTGGGTCCTCAACATAAGAAAGACATGGACACAAGACAGAGTAGTTTCAGAGGAGGGCCACAAAGATAGTCAAAGGGCAGGAGCACCCCTCTTATGAGAAAAGGCTGAGAGAGCTGGGGTTGTTCAACTTGGAGTAAAAAATGATCCAAGACCTTATAGCAGCCTTCCAGTACCAAAAGGGAACTTATAAAAAAGAGGAAGAGTGACTTTTTACACTGGCAGATACTGATAGGACAAGGGGGAACAATTTTAAACTAAAAGAGATCTAGATTAGATGTTAGGAAGAAAATCTATACTCAGGAGGGTAGTGAGGCACTGGAACAGGTTGCCCAGAAGAGAGAAGTTATGGACACCTCATCCCTGGAAGTATTCCAGACCAAGCTGGATGGGACTCTGAGCAACCTGGTCTAGTGGGTGGCACCCCTGCCCATGACAGAAATGTTCAAACGATTTGATCTTCAAGGTCCCTTCCAACCCAAACCATACTATGAATCTATGAGATACAACATATCATGCCAAAGTGGTAATCTAAGGAATTTTCTGACCCTTCTATTGCTAGAATTATTTTTTTTTCCAATTGCATTGCCTGAAATACTTTTCAGAAAGATATATGGAAACTATCATGACTCAGCTATTCAGAAAACAATGCTTTGGGGTCACAGTAATTAACATTGCTGCAATAATTAACAGCTTCTTAAACCATGCTGTATACTCAAACAGCCACTGTGTATTTCTTAACGTAATTTCAGGTTAATTATATTTACAACACAGAAACAAAATATCTCATAAACAAGTCTTGTTAGTCACATGTTTCCTGGAAAATACTTATTTCTTTCCTTGTTTTTTTGTACCGTAACACACTGTGCTGTTGAGATTATCAGAAAGCAAAGATAAAACAAAAAGATGTTATCTGGTTTATTTAACTGTACCTGCTCATAGAAAGGATTGTGAGCAACATAGTAATTGGAGTCAAATGATTCTTCTGTTACCAGAACTCTCTGCCTCTCACCAACCTGGAAAATAGAAAATGAGAGAGATGACTCAGAAAGGAAAAATAATTAATTATGCTGAGAAGAGAACTGCAACTACAAACAAATGCTCTTAGCAGAAATAATCAAATTCTCTGAGGAAATTCTGTGTCAGCAAGAAAGTGGAACAGGAAAAGCTCTACTTTAAACTGTCTAAAACTGACAGGGTTAAAAGTCAAAATTAAGGGCTAGAACTGTGGTGCTATAATGGCTTAACATGAAAATCATGTTCAGAAATATATACTGATTTTTACTTATTAACATGATAACAAATAAAAATGGCAGATATGCACAGAGTCTATTACATCTTCATCCAACTAATGAAAAAATTGTGCAATCAATCACTCAAAAGGTATATTTTCTTTAAAGGCCACACTTGTTATTTACAATGCTAGGGCATCTCTTTATCCCCTTCTGGTGATCTCACCAAGCTGTGCTTGCAAGATCACACTGATTTCCATCACAGTGGAGCCAACACTGCATATTACAGAGACTCAAGAAGAGTTTTTAACAACTCACAGACACAGCGATATCATGTAAGGCAAAATGGTGTAAAAAGCCCTTTGTTTAAAATTCCCAACTTCCAAATGCTCCAATACAGTTTAAGGGAAGCACCAGTTTTACATTTAGTTACATGAAAGATGCCAAGACAAATCATTTGCATTTAGGGGCCAAGTAGATATGAAAATAAATCTGAATCTCCCCAAAGTTCAAAATCTCCCACATAGCACCTTTTGATTTTGTCCATTAATTTCTACAAATCATGAAGACATTTAACTCACATTTTTAGTCTGAGCTCATCTCTATTTTTTTCCATCTAAATGTGCCCTGGATTATTTCCAAACTATCTGACAAATGCATTCTGCAAATTACAACTGTCTAGCAAGTTAAATTTACTCACTGCTTTTATTACTATTTTGAGACTCAAAAAGGTTTCACATTTTACTCCAAAGTTTTAATATCTATGAGTAAAGTTACATTCAAGACCCTTCTCCCTCCCTGAAAGACTTCCACCACATCCTAATGGCAGCTGTTACTTAAAAGTTTTAAGGCCTCCATCATAAGGTTGATGTGAACTAGCAAGAACTTGCAGATCAGATAATAATGTTTTGATTTTTTAAGGTACAAGCAGTAAAAGTAAAAGATAAGATTAGAAGTTTCTCTAACAGTCAATTGCAGAAAACAGAAAATTAAGAAATAAGAACAGCAATATCACACCTACATTACAGTATATATATACTGTATATATGCACATATATATATATACACATACATGATACATATATAATTCTGCACTTGCTGAACAGAAAGACTTCATAGAATAACTCTTGCCTTCTCTTCCTTGTGCACATATCTAAATATTCACAAAGTAAACCCTGGAGAGAAAGGGAGACAGTAAGCACCCAGCTCATTTCCCCCAAGGCAGTTAGAGTTCACTCTCAGGACTGCAAGTGTGGGGTACAGCAGAAGGGGTAAAATCCCTGACTTCCAGACCCAGTAACAGAATCTTAATAGCAGAAGATATGTGTATATTTGCATACTTTTAAGAGGTGTTTAAGAATTGTTTATAGCATATTTAGAATTTCCATTCATGTTTCTCTGGGAAGCCTGCAATTACATATAACAACAGACACAACATACTCAAATTTTAGTAAAAATTCAGTGTAACCAAAAGTGAGGGGTTTTTTAAAATTATTTTCAAGAAAACAGTTATTCAGTTCAAATACCCAAAGGAGTTTTGCAAAACATGTCAATAAGACACTTGAGATAACTACTCCAATAATATTTCCCCTAAACTGAGAGGTTGTGTTACTTCTATAATATTTGAAACCATAGCTTTTAAAAATCACAACTCAATATCTGCTGTAGCAGTAAAGTGCTAAAGTCTCAGATGTCATGAGACATCATGAAAAAGAGGAGGACAAAATAAGCAACATTCACCCTTGGGCAAACATGCTACCACTGAAAAGCACCAAGGCCAATCACCAAGTCACATCCTCACATTGCATTCATTACTTACTGATACCAAAACTTAGCAAAACTGGCTCAAAGCAATACTGGGCCTGTAACTCATTTCACAATTGTCTTGTGGTTCCCTGGGTCTCTCTTATCACCACATTCTGCCATTATTGCTGCTATGAGTCCTGCCTGTGAGGCAGGCTGAGCTACATGTGTTATCTTCATACTCTCAGATGAAAGAATGGCAACCATATTATTAAAAGAAAAAAAAAATCAGAGGGAAGAAGAAAAGAACACCTGTGTTAGATCATTTGAGATAAATTGTGGTTTCTTCAGAGACACGTTGCCAGTTTTTCTCATCTTTGCTTCCATGAGCAAAAGAGGTTAGGTCTCCACGTCCCAGTGGGCTAGACTGAGCTTCTGGGCTCAGAATTTCTTGGGAATGGGAGGAAATCAGGAAGGGAATGCAGGTAAACCCAGTAATTATTCAGTCGATGAAGGTACTGGATTTGTAGCCTTGGCCAAGACCAAACTAACAGAAAGATACGATATTCAGCCATTTGCAGACTCTTTTGCCATAACAACAGAAAAGGAAAATTCCATTTAATGAGTTAGGCCATTGAGTATTCATGATCTACAAGACTAATTGGCTACATGCATTTGTAAGACAGAAAATGACTATCTATCCTGCATCCAAGCATAATTAAGAAGAAATATAAGTACGCAGAATGCAGCTTTGGTATTGAAATTTGTTCAAGAAGTGTAATATGTCATCATTTCTGCAATTATTCCCCTGGGATCTCTAAGTGCCTAAGTTTCACCCCTCTCAAAATTTAAATATGCAGAAACCAGACACGATATCTAATAACAGTCATAATTATAATAACCTTTGATGATTTTTTTCAGGCATGTACCAGCAGAAGTAGTTCAGTATCTTATTTTTATTCCTATTCTTTCATCTGCTTCCACAGGTACGCACGAGTTCCAGCTCTCAGGGAACTACAATTCTGCCAAAGCATCTGGAACTTAGGAAACTCAGCCCTGACATCTCAATTTGGAAAGGTTTCCTATAGAAGCATTACTTTTTTTTCTTTATGGATGGCACTACGAAAATTCTTATGAACGACAGCAAAAAAACTTGCCTGGCAACCTCCCCCATCCCAAGGTGGACTGGTCATATAATTTACACAAAGAGAATTTGTTTTCATCAAAAACAGTGCAACAAGCGCTGCTGGTCCTATCACTTCCTACACTGAAACAGTTACCAGGAAGTTTGTAAATCTCAGAGTTAGTAATGAAATCACTTAGGAACTTTTATTTCATTTTCATTTATCCTACAGGAAATTCTGACATGATAATTCTTTAACTCAGTTTTTCCTTTACCTAAATCATGAAAAGCAGTTTTTCCAGCTGGTTGATTTTATAAAATAATTGAACAGTAAGATATTTCCAAAATCCTTATTGGCTGCAGTCAAATTAAGTTTCTTTTTTAAACCAAAACTGACTGAATCACCTAAAACACAAGACTGGTTTTCAAACTCTGCAATAATTTGGTTGCAAAGGACTGTCCCTTTTTTACATGCTTTGACAGAATATTGCTACATAATGTGAACAGTGGCCTGCTGTGATTTACTTAGATAATTTATACCTCTATTTTTTTTTTTTACTTAATGAAAACTATGATTGCACCAGTTTTGATTTATTGCTTATTACAGCCAGAGCATGTAGCACATGATCTTTCTCATTGTTTTCTTCTCATTCTTTTATCTGAATTTTTTAAGCTTTGTTTGTAAGAGCCTCTGTTTGGCTAAAACCAAAAATAAATTAATAACCACTGTCTTTCTATACTTCTCCCATAGAAGATAACACGCTGCACATGTAGTATCTCCACTGATTTAGAGACAGTTGCTAAAGCCTCCTTCAGGTTGAATTCAATTCACAGTCAAATTGATGAGCATCTCTCAATTCATGTTGGAGGAGGCTGGCTTGGATTCTGACCCCAGTCATTATGGAATATAGTTAGTACAAAGCTTGGAAGCCACATAAAAAAGTTGCTTTCCTGTATTTGTTATTTAAATACATCATAAAGCAGGCAATAAAAAATACAGACTGTCACAAGTCACGTGAGCATGTTTTAGCAGATTATTCTGATGTACAGAATATTTCTGGTAAACATGCATACTTTGACCTTTACTAACTATAGCAAAGTTTAAGCAAAAGTAATTTAGAAAGTGTTCATTCTACATCAGTTTTGGTGTACTTCTCTCCTGATTTTTCAGTTGCAGTCTAATTATTTTAAATATATTTTAATAATTATGCAGATGATGTATTCTTCCCCATAGAGCAGGCAAGAACTGCAGGACCTACTTTTTATGAATCAAGTGAATCCTTCTGTAAATAGAAGCCAAATTTCTTGAAAATTATAATTAAGCATTCTCTAAGTCTTTTATTTATACATTGTAGGTATTTTCTCCTCCCGACAGAGAAGTCTAAGTGCACCACAACCTCCCTGAAAAAAGATGAAGTTCGTAGAAACTTACAAAATGGTCCTGTTTTGATGACACCAGAACACATCTCTTTTCAAACTCTCCTTTGTACTGCTTTGTTCAGTTATGCAGCACTGCTCCTCCAAATTTAGGGTGTACACATACATTCCTTTCTGAAGGTAGTATGGGAGAATGGACTTGTCTCAGAGCTTTTCTACAAAGTTGTTAGGGTTTTAAATGTGGAGACTGGAAAACAGTAATATTAAAATAGTTCAGCTCCTGAGCATGACAATTTTTATGCCAGGATAAAAATACTTTTCAGCATACAGCATAGACAGCTGCCACTTCACTACGGTTTATGTTACAACTGCTGTCCAATCCCAGATGGGTAGGGGCCTCCTTTTTATTATGTTATGTTCAGTGCATAACCCTGTACAAAAATGCAGTAACACAGTGACATGAATATTTAAAATTCTGTATCTTTTACTTCATACAATAATTAATCGGATTAATCTTTATAACATGTGTCTGGCCCATTTT